ACGTCCGGCGAGTGCGTATTCCCTTTCTGCAAGAAGGCCGCCGGCCACCGCAATGTGAGATCCGCGTGCCGACAGGTAATTATGCGCCTCTTCCACCTGAGAGTAAAGCTGAGCAGTCCGATCCGCAACGTCAGCAATGGCATGGGCGTATTCAGCGCTCAGTCTCTGCCCTTTCAGCAATGATCAGCCCCTGCTGGACCCCCAACTCCCGGGCCGCCCACACACGATGGGCAGCAGCACTCGAACCTCGAGATTTGGTACTTGAGGCGCCCGGCGATTCGCAAAGTGCCCCGCAACAGTCGACTCCTCCCAGTGCATGGCGATGTTTCCTGAAACCAAGCGTAAGCCTGTCATTGTTGCGGCGGCGGCTACCACCGCATCCAACGGCCCGTGTTCATCAACGAAGGCGAGCTGCACCCGTACATCGCCATGCTGGCGTGCCAAGTCCAACATGCGGGCAACATTGTCGCTCCTCCCCGTCGCCATGTAAAAGAAAACACTGCCATTTCTTTCAATCAGCTTGCAGGGATCCCGTGTGGCTGTGAAAACCAAAATAATTACAAATCGTCTGAACGCCAACAGTTCCCTGATTTCCTCAATCGCGGTAAACCAAATAAATCATAAAGTAGAAAAAAAAAAAAAAAAAACTGTCGTACAGAGTCCCCTTTATCAGCATATATAAATATTAAATTAGATTGCCCGCTTGCCCCGTAAATATTCTCTTCACAAGTTCCTGGTGAAAAGGAAAAAGTAAATGAAAATATGTTTATTACCCTTTTATTTGTATTTACTTGTGTCAATAAAGCAATAAATACACACAAAAAAAACGTGTTTAACTTGCGTACTTTTTCTTTTTTCTTTTCTTTATTTCTCTCTTGGCAAACGTGTGGGGCGCAATTAATGGAAACTTCGCTAGAGTCCCTTGTATGTACGTGCATGCATGCATGTGTGAGACTGCAACATGATTGAAGACAGAGACACAAATGGGGGAGGGGGAAAAAAAACCAAAAAAAAAAAAAAAAAAAAAAAAAAAAAAGACGTTATTTGAGGGCACATTGGAAGACATACATTTCACACACACACAAAAAGAGGGGACGTAAAAAAAAATATATTTAATGGATTCATTTGATTTGATTTGACCACCAGCGTTGATGAACCGCACTGCCGCAGCTCACAGAGTGATCGTATAAAAGTTACGAGTGACCGCCTTGCAGGTTAAAAAAAAAAAAAAAAAAAAAAGGAATGCGGAAAATGAACGAATTCCTGGGCACATCCAATCATCATCATCAAAGGGAGAAGAAATAATAAGAAGTGGCAAACAACATGCATTCGTCACATTCACCGACACAAAAAGACCTTCAACAAACACCATGATGTACGCATATATGTATATATATATTATACATACATACATACATATACACAAACACATGTACATACAACACATATTTAATAATAATAATAATGAACAGATGGAATGTTGTTGTTGTTGTTGTTGTTGCGTTTTTTCTTCTTTATAAAAAAAATATATATTTATTTATGTATATTTCCTTCTTTCTTTCTTTCTTTCTTTCACCCTCTCTTCTTAACAGTACCGTCACCGATCCGCTTTTCCTTCTTTTCTACTAATATTCATTTTATGCTGTTGTCACCGTGCGGGCGTCATCGTCGTGGTGATAGAAACACCACGTAAAAAAAAAAAAAAAAAAAAAAAACAACAACGACCAAACGCAACCCACCACCACCAGCACCTTCTTCTTCTTCTTCCTATGTAAAATACCGTTTCAATACCCTGCCTAATAACTCCCTTTCCCACCGGGCCCTACAAAATATCCACTAATTATATACACACACCAATCGCCACTACCATCCGCGGTGGTAGAGATGCTCCGGGGTGCCGGTGAGCATAAACGTGAGGTGTCGGAAAAAGTCCTGCCTGTCACTACCCCAAAACAGATTACGCCGTTCATCCGGGGTCATAGTACGAAACTGCCCAACCGTCGGATTGTTATTGATGCGTACAAAGGCGAGTTCCCGCATATAGCTCATGTCGTCAAATCCCCACTTACGGGCCTCCGTACGAACAGCAAACTCCAGCGGGTCCTCATCCAAGTACTCAATTTCAATAGGTGGCGGCGTGATGGGGAAGTGGAGGTCACGCTCCTGCTTTGCCAAACAGAGGCAAGCCACATTTGGAAAAACACGGCGCATCACTTTTTCTCTTATTTATATAAATGCTTTAAAGGCAACTAAAAACTCTAATGAACACGATAACAAACCCACACACAAATACAAAAAAAAAAAAAAAAAAAAGAAAGAAAGCAAAACAAAAAAAAAAAAATCAATAAAATGAAGAGCAAGAAAACAATCCCTTTTTTTTTTTTACTGCTGTAGATGATCGGGCTCGCGTCGTCTTGTGCCAACCAAAAACTTGTCATGTATGCAGTGATCGACGAATAGGAGCCGCACCCAAAGTCGTTGTGAAGTATTGACCACACACTCTGATCGCGGAATGCCACGCCGTTCTCGCTTTCCACGTACACAACGTAGGCGGTGCGGAACGCGTTGTCGCGGTGCACCAGCCAGCTGCCGCCAGTCACAGTCAGCGTGGTTGCCATGAGCATGGCGAAGCCGAGACGGAACTCGCTGGACATAACCTGCAGCACGCTGCCGCCAGACACCACAACGTCCCCAAACACACACGCGCCTTTGTAGTACTCGGTGCTCGGAGCACTCCACGAGCTGTTCTGTATGGAGAACACGGAGCCGCTGCTGACACGCAGGTCCGACGCAAGAGCGTACATCACGTGCATCTGCGAATTGACAGCGCAGTTGTCCATGTAGAAGACGCTGGACAGGTTCACACCGAGGCCGCGCTCCAAGAGGATCGCAGCGCACGAACCCCCGCCACACACCAGCGTCGAACGCGTCATGACAAACCACGTCGACAGAAGCCGGACGCCGTCCAGAACAAGCGCGGGGCCGTACCGGGATTTCTCGTGGCCAGGAGTCGTCGGCACGTAATGCGACCCGCCAACCGTCGCGCGCAGCGTCGAGTTCGCCAGCAGCACACTCGAGTTCAGCGGCATCGCGCCATGCAGCACGATCGTGCCCTCCAGCGACGTCACATTCGTCATGTTGACGAGGGCGTGCGGCACCAGGTGCGCTGTGCTCTCGCTGAGGCCGCCAATCCGCAGCTGCGACCCGCCCACAAGCACGCAGTGGCGAAGCGTCACGTTCAGCGCGTCAGCGAACGCGTCCATCAAGTGCAGGTCCACCGCCACAGTGATCGGTCCGCTGAACACCACCGAGTCGAAGCACGCCGTCGCCTGACCGCCGCCAACCGTCACGGACTCCGTCAGCGTCACGCCACTCACGCAGTCCTGCGCACCGCCACCGCCGGAACTCGCAGGCGGCACGTCAAACGGCAGGCACGCCTCGCCCACACCGCCGGCACGGCAGCTGCACACGCAGCTCGGAGAAAGACGCCGTCAGCTCACCAAAGCACGCCAGCGCAGCCGCACAGCCGCCGCTCTGCAGCACGCGGCCGCCGGCACGGTTGCACTGCACGGACACAGCGCCGCTCGTGATCGTCGGCCCGGAGACAAGCGTCGCGCCGGTGGCAGCGCAGCGAGCAATCGACACGGCGCCGCCGCCCAGCGTCACCCCTGACAGCGACGCCACAGTCGACGCCTCGCCCACTGCCCACACGTCGTGCATGTCCACCCACCCGCCGACACCGACCGTCCCACCGCCGCAGCGTACCAACGGCGACGCAGCAGACCCCTCAACGCCCACGAAGCGCAGCACCGAATCAAACACCGCGAGGCGCTCGCCAAGCACAATGCCGCCGCCGTTGCTCACAACCGACACGTTCGTCACGGAGAACACCGAGTGGTTACGCAGACTGAGACGCGACGAGGACGACACATGCATCGCGGACGCGGTCGGACCGCCCGACGCCTCCAGCGACACGCCGGCAAGCACCACCGCGCTCGACAGCAGGTCCACACCGCCGCCAACGTACACCGCCGACCCGCCCGCCTGCGACGACCTCAGCACGGTGCTGCTCACACGCAGCTGCGTCTGCGACAGCGACGTCGCGTGCAGCACAAGCGGCGACGCCACCGCGTCCGTCAGCCCGCTCAGTTGGGAGTAGCGCATCGGCCCCGGCGTCACAATCGTCGAGTCACGGACCGTCACGTTCGTGTGTGCCGGCAGGTTGTGCACAAACACGAGCGAGCAGTAGCTCCCGGACAGCCCGCTCACGCTCACCTCCAGGCTCCGCTCAGTCGCCGGCTCGCCGCCGTAGCCCCGCACGTATATCTGCGCACCGCCGTCGCACACGCAGTTCCTCAATTCGATGCGCAGCGCGCCGGGAAGCATCGCCGCAACGTCGAGCACCACAGCCACGCCGTTCGTGATGCACACGCCGTCCATCAGCACCGTGTCCACAGCGCGGCCAACCGTGATTGCTCTCTCCACCGTGCCGCCCCGCAGTCGCAACGCCACCGCATGCACCGCGGGCATCCACGCCGCCAACGACACCAGCGCCAACACCAAAAACAGCGCCGCACGCACAGTCGCAGCGGCCCTGCGCCGCACGCGGTGCCGGCTGCGCGGACACGCACCCACCGCAGACCACATCCACCAACCCAAACAGGTATCAACAGGGCTGTCGTGGTGTGTCTCGCACTCGTCTCGTCGACCGTGCCTCCTGCTCCGCAAATCCCTTCCTACAGATGTCAAATACAGTGACCCGATTCCGCCAGATCGTTATCCCACTACTACTAATAATAATCCTACTACTACTGCTGCGAGTAATTACTAAAACCTTGAAACGATAGTTGTGGTGGTCAAGCCACAGTATCTCTATCTGCACGGTAAAACAAGGAAGAGGCAGCAACAACAGTAGCCAGACACAGTAGCACGCAGCGGCATCCGGCCACAGACAGTCCCCATCACAACACAGCCAGCGACACAAAGACGCGCAGACGCAGTCAGCCCAGTGATGCCATCGGCCTCCCACCGCCCGCGCAGCCCCACACAACCGCCGTGCAGAGTGGCGGGACCCCGGCAAAGAGGCAAATGACCATTGGCACCGCCCTTTTCACCAAATGCCTCCAACACATGACGACCCCGATGCCGTGGAAAACACACAAAAGCCGAGGCAGATACACGTGGCATTGTTGCAACCGCCAGCCATCGAGCGCGTCCGTGAACGTGGTGGTGGAGGTGGCGGCGCGGAAGAGGGGCGGTGAGTGCGTCAGTTGCCAGTAGTCAAAGCGTCGTTTCTCGCTCACGTGGGTCGGCATTGCAGAACAAAGAGCGGCATCATGCGCGCACGGCATGCACAAGGGCAAAAAGGACGAATAAAGAAGCACGGTGGCGGCACTCAGCCACGGGGGACAAGGACCCACATCGACTCTGCGGTCGGTTGACCTTCAGACGTCCGGTTTGTAATCACGCCGCCGCCGCGCAGTTCGTGTGTCTGCAGGAAACTGGGGAATGGAGGGAGGGAAGAGAGAGGCGGTGCGGCCCGCATCGATCTCAGTTGGGTGTGACAACGGTGAGGTCATCTCGTCAGATCGCCGGCAGCAAAGACGGTCGCCGTCAGCGGCGGTCAGTGCCTTCCTTCTCCCACCGCAGCGCCACTCCACCGACGCCGTCGCCCGCCTCCTCCCCACCGACACAACGAGGAGACAACGGCAGGAGATGTAACACCCGCAACGATCAGGCTGCCGCAGAGTCTCGTTGCAGCCGCCATGACCAGACGAGTGGGATGCAAACAAAAAAGGAAAACAATTGCCCCCTCAAGCATCTCAGCACAACGTGGAAGCACAGCAGCCGGCACACAAGGCGCAACGCCGTTCAGTGGCTACCAGCACTCACCCACAGTTACGCGGCAACGTGAAAATGAACGAGCTCCTCCCACACAGCCATCCTGCAACACGAGTGGGTCACACGAGCAGTCGCACAAATTAACACCTCGCCACGCAAACCAGCAATCAAAGACACCGCCGGCAAAGGAAGCGATGGATGGCTGTGGCGCGCAGCCGCAATAATAAAACATGTGTCACCTTGCTTGGGGCATAATGAAGAAGTCCAATCAAAGAGGCACACCAATTCGCACCAGAGAAAGGTAAGAGCAAACAGAAGCAAATATTCGCCTAGGGCGATTGACCGGATCGTAAAGTTATTTACGAAAATCAAGCAATACAAGAGGAAGAAGGGGTAAGTGAAAAAGCAGTGGGCTCACCACACCCTCAAGCTTTGCCCAAGTAAGTATATGTACACATATGTATTCCGATAGCCACTCTCGTGACATGCTGCACTCTATTCGGATTGGATACATACATACATATATATTAATAATTTACGAAGCGTCAAACTTTGGGGCTCTCCAGCCACAATACCCCACCGCAATGTGGGAATCAAAAGGGAGTGGGTGAGATGGTAAAATTAAATTTGCAAAATTATCTGGCGGTTATCGGTTCCCTAATCCCCTAAAGTCGTGGTCATACCAAAAATCATACGGTAGAAAAATGTCGTAAAAAGGTGTATTCGTTTTATCAGGATACATATTAATTTAAATAGCCAGCCTTCCCCGCGATCATTCCCTCCACAAGCTCCCAGAAAACAACAGCGGAAGTCCATAGAACCATCACAATACTGAATGTGGGAAGCGGGGTCGCCACGGGAGTGTGAGAACGTCATGCACTACACTCGGCGATGCAGTCACAAAGCAGGTGCTTACACCACCACGGCCACCAGCGCCCCACGAGCCCAGCATGGGGTGGCAGAGGATGCCACTGCAGCCAGCGGCGAGCACCGCAGTGTCTCTCACGGCTACCTGAAGACAAATGTCCCGGTGATGCGTGTGCCGGCGGGGAGACTGACGACGGTGCGGCACGGGTCATCCGCATGGGAATCGTCCAGCAGCTCGTTGCTGTACACAGGCGGAACACCCGGCGCGTTCGCGATGGTGATGTGCGGATGAACATTTTCGCAGGGGAACTCTCCCTCGTTGCGCACCGCGATCGCCGTCCCCTTCGGATCAGACGCAACGCTCGTCAGCGTGAGCTCAATGGAGTCGCCCAGCAGCCCCACCAGCTGCTGCAGCAGGACAGGGTCCTTGCAGGCGTCACGACCCAGGTACAGCGTCGTCACATGGAAGGCCTTCTGCACCTTCTTGCCGTCCAGCATCTCTGGCGGCACAAGCTCGAGAACCCTCTCGGGTGACGCAATCTGAATTGCAGCATACTCCACGTGGCGGGGGAAACGGCACAGAAAAGACTCGCAGGCGTTCGCCACGCCCAATGCTGCCGCCATGTCGAGTGTCTGAATTTCTGGTATGTCCGTCAAACCAATTGCGG